GGCGGTTGTGGTGTGTTTGCCGTATTGAACTCTGAAGGTGAGGTGAGCCGACGGAACCGTATCGCCCAGATACTCAGACAGTTTACAGGTGATCCGCTCTCCGAAGCTCTCACTGACAGACAGGAACAACACAAAATGAACCAAAAAGGGCAAATCCAATGAAAATGACAGAAATGACATTTGCCATGATGCACTCACACTCGGCAGGGCACATCGCCCACCATGATTTGAAGGTCTTCTTTTGAAGCGGTGTTCAGGTTCATCCCAGTGATTGTGAGGATGGTTCCTCCTGCTTTAGGACCTCGTTCAGGAGACACGCTCTGTGCTACAGGGTCCTACAGCGACAAAGATCACATATTACATTATATATATTTTAGTAAACTAATATCACACACACAATTTTACATAAATAATTAATTATTCATTAATATAAACTGTAATATTGAAGTAATAATGTGCACAAAAGCTGCAAATACCCAGCAATGACAGAGCCGTCCCATGCATTACCATCTTATTGTAATGATTACATAATCCCAGGAAATGCATCTGCACGCTGTCTGAGAGCCGTCAGTCTGCCGAACAAACACCTGTGGGAGCGACTGTGACAGCCTATCTCCCTGAAAAACTGATGCAATAAAGTCTGCTAAAGCCGTCAGCAGGCTGATAATCATTAGGCCTGCAGGAGCGTGTGACCGGTGGCCACACACAAAACAGCCCAGCATTACATAACACACGCAGAGAGAAGGTCCTGTGGACTCACACAAACCAACCGCTCACAGCGCCAGCCCTTCAGAGTTTCACTGAATTACTGTGTGTGCAGTGCATGCTGGGGAATGCAGAATCGTGACTTACCCTGTAGGTGAAGCGGACCGTTTTTGTGGATATGCCTTTCTTTCCTCTGCCCACCTCGATTTCCACCTCTCCGGTTTTGTACAGTTTCGCCGGGCCGATTTCACACACCACACTGCCAGACAAACACACGAAAACTGCTTTAACTAAAGATACAGACACTCAAGTTCCACCAACATCTGTGACATGCTTTTGAGTACCACAAAATACTATTTATATTGTATTACAATGTTCATAAGCAAGAAAATCACTTTTTACAAACTGAAATTACACTTGCCTTTTGTAGAACTGCGAACTTTTGTTTGTTTTAATTAATTTTGAATGTAAATAATATAAATAGAAATAAATTTTAGAATGAATGACTTTTTATTTAAAAATCTAAATAAATACACCTATATATATATATATATAAATATATATATATATATATACACACATA